CGCTTATGAACTTTCAATTTTTTCCTCAGGAACTGTGAATCGCTGGAAGGAAGATCATCCTGGTCATGTAAGAGGCAATATAGTATTTCGAAAGCACCAGGGTGCATTGGTGGTCGGTAGTTCTGGAACGTACTATGTTTACAGTCAAATGTACTACTACGATTGTACCAGCTATTCCATGAGTCACTACACCGTACTGAATGGACAGAAGATTCTTGGAAGCATTTCCAGTGTGGCAGGTTGCAATAAAGAGTACTACACAAACTACCATGGCGGCATTTTCCATCTGAATCGCGGAGATACCCTCAAAGTGGAAGTGTACAAGAGTAAGAAGTATTTTATGGAAGCGCAGCTTACATACTTTGGATTGTACATGTTGTATCCCGATTGAGATGATGTCGGAAATCGTTCAACTCCAAATGCAATCATACGTCTCTCATTCTTGATGTTACTGCGGTAGAACAGGTTGCACCTTCAAAAAACATTACCTGTTAAGTTTTTTCCATGTAGAGACATCAAAAATATATCCTCCAAAAAGGAGTATCGACATTACCAAAACAACGAATAACATAGCGGTTTTATGGTCAACTCTAATCTTGTACAGTCCCTTAAGTTAGAACACCCTGTATAACATAATAAGTAGAACCACAAGAAAATACTGCATTGGGAAATCATTTAAGTAAACGCGCGAGAGCTCCTACAACGCAATTCGCGCTTAAAGAAAAATTATGAAAAGTTTGACTAGTGCAATAGCAATATCGGCATTGCCATGGGAGTGACGCTTAGGTTTGTCGAATAACGTTACTTACATCAAACAAGATTACAACTGACGGGGCGATAAAGCTTACACTGCTTGATCATGATTTTAAGCACAGCTTACGATGTATAGATTTTTTACAGAATGAAGAAGTCGCGTTTTAGATTGTTTGTATTTTTGTCGCCCTCCTTGTTTGTATGCCAAGCCAAGGCACCTAGGGCTGAGAAAAATTATGTTGGAGTTCGCCCCTCCCTCCTCTTCTAGTTGTGCATGAGTGGACTCCTGACTTCATTGAGGGTCTAATTCCGCCTCTGTTTTTGACGTAAGGGGAAACAATTTTCCGTGTATATAAGAGCATTTTCGGCAACCGAAAAGTAAAGTAGATGCTGCATTAATGTAGAATCAAGGTCTTGAAACCAAGCAGCAAACAATGACACTAGGAGTAACTGAGCCTTTACCTCCCTTGACCAATTGACCAGAATTAAGATTTTCCTAAGAACATCTATGCTTAGTTAAGTACTAAGAGAGGCGGGCAAAAGGAGTTTTTGTATTCTTATGTTGAGAGTTGAGGGGTTACTGAGTGTAGTTTTGTAAATAATCGCCAGCAATGTAATGTTTTTTTTTGAGACAGGAGTTTAAGAGGAACACCCCAACACGCGGAAAAATTGTCTCGCGCGCGCCCCAAAGGATTACTAACCGCGAGCCTGTCGAGTGTTTAGGTAGTTCCATTATCTCTGAAAGAAAACAAGAGACTTATCCTTTCTAGTGTATTGTAAATTGTAAAAACCAATGTAGAAACAGAAAAAGCGCAGTAAAGCTAAATGCGATTAACGAGTTACAGTAACTCAATGGACCGCCGCGCTATGTGATAAAATTACTGATAACCTCATTTTTTTTTCCGGTAAAAAGCGGTGTATATTTTAGCTAAAGAAAATTCTGAAGCAATTTCTATAAACAACAGGTTTTTTAAATCAGTAGCATTTTAAAAGGAATAATTTTGCTAAGCATTTGCAAAAGCTGGTCTACTGAACTCTTTCATGACAGTGTAAATACCATTACAGCATATCGACTTGCCAAGATATGTCCTTAAAAACTATTTGTGTGCGCAAATAAAGTAATCGCAAATAAACTGTATTGTTTCACGATTTCGTTTTCTACAACGTACATAGTCCCAAATTGTTCTATTGAAACCGCTGTCCATGCTATCTGAGCTACGAAATTATCAATAACCAATAGGTAGTGTTCTTTGAGAGTTTGAAGTAATATCAAAGTAATATGTCAAAATACTTCGAACTCAGTGTGGGACGTCACCAAATACAGAAAGATGTCACGATACTCAAAACAGCTTTTCGGATTATTGGCATCCTTTACTGACTGCCTATACTACAGGTCGAATTTTCATTATACAAAATCGTTTCTTGCTTGTCGTTTTTTGTCCCTCTCTTTCTCATGTTTATTTTATCTGGATTGCTTGGTTGTAACTAAATTAGCCTGTTCCAGGCGTTCAGATCAAGTGCCATCTACAAATAGTAGGTCGGCTATCATGGATCTCCAGCTGTTCCGCTCTTCTTACACATCCACTATAGGTGTGAACTAACCATTCTTTGATGTTTTCATGCGGGTGTCTCTTAGTCTCCCACGTCCTCTCTTTCCTTCAATTTTGTCTTCCAGTAACAATTTTTTGATCGACCTCGCTCTTACGTGTCCAAAATACTGGCATTTTCTTTCCTTTATTGTTGGTAATAACTGAACGAACTTGTTGTATTTGCCATCTTTAAAAGTTCTTCGTTGGTTGTATATTCCGTCCATGATACTCTTAACAGCGCGGGCGAAAGATCGAGCGCCCCAGTCTCCCCTCGTTTTTGACGTTATTTCCGGCTACCCCGCGTACGATTTAACTCGCTCCTCGCCATCTGAACTCCGCGCTCTACTACCTGAACGCCTGGAACAGGCCATAACTAAATACATAGAAAGAAATGTGCATAAACACACACAAAAAACTAGACTTGTCGTATCGAATACCAAATTTTTGACCGAAACAGCTCTATAATCATAAAGTTAAGTACACAACACATGGGGCCACATGGAACGTTTCACGTGGGGCACGGATGGAAGAGTATAATTCCTTTACCGAAACTTCCCCCTGTTTTTAGAAGGAAACACAGCAAGCATCTGCACTTCCCTTGCATGAGACGAGTCAGAGTCGAAAGTTTTTAATTAGAAAGAGAAATTCATGGGACCTGCAAAAGGAAGTCGGAAGTTAAAGATGACGTCTTAATCCACTTTCTTTCCTGTTCCCATTCACTTTCAATCAGGAGCCGATAATCGGCTCCTGCTTTCAATATAAGGTAGGTCGGCAGTAGATGCGAAAATAACAATTGAATTCACTTTGAACAATCATATTCTTAATTTTAGGTCTTTTCTGTTTCGACTAACATGATATGCAAACATTTGCGTCAGTAACAATATAATTTTTCCACGCCCAATGAAGGTATACTCGTGCGAGCCAAATTATTACGTAACAAAGACATCCACCAGGGATTTGCGCGAAGTTGAGAGTTTCCTCGTCTTGATGTTTAGGTTTTTCGGTCATTTGGAGTAAACTACTCCAAACTACACAAAATCACCATTAATTTATGCACTCCCACCTTTGCAGAAGGAGGTTTTCCTGCAAATGTTACGATTTGCCTTGTAAAAAGTTTCAAAACTACTTAGTTGTACATTATATTTGGTTGCACTTGACAATCCTGAAAAGCCTCGAAAAAGGGACCCTATATTCCACCAACACATAGCACTTCCCGTTTTTAAGCAAATCTTAAAGTTTCGATTTGGAGACATTCTATTCCACTCTTCCGTTACGACCAAACACACCTGTAAATTTGAAGCGCACAGTAAGTTATCAAGCTTTCAGAGCTAGTCGCTCAGTTTCCTTTTTAGGTAATTTTTTCTTACTGTCCTGAATTAAAATATCGACGTCATAAATGCCGATAATAGGAACTGAACATAAATCTTTCCAAATTGAGGGGAAGTTTTTACGTTGTTAATGTTTTAGGAAAGTATTCCAGTCCTAGAACTGCAGAAACTGTAAAACACAGGGGCGGATCTAGGGGGAGGGTGCAGGGGGTGCGCACCCCCCCCTCCCCCCTGAGATGACCTGCCGTTTTCTAATACAACTGGTATTCTGCCAAAAAAAAAAACGATGTGGTTTATTGGTGTTGAAGTAGAGCAAGAGACGAGAGCACCCCCTCCTAAAAAAAATCCTGGATCCGCCCCTGAAACACACCTTCTGCCTATCAGTACAGGGGCGACCCTGTCACTTCATTACAGCGGTCCCGGGTGGATAAAGGTGTCTTTTAATTATTGAAAACAAATATTTATGAAGGAAGTACCAATGGCTGAATTAAAAAGACAGTTTACAGACAGATTATAACACAATCTGATGAAGTCATTTATTTAGACGAGAAAAGGAAGTCGGCAATAACTACGAAAGGGCCTTTCGCAGGAGATCCTATATTTCGCCCCACTGTGCAAAAACCTGAAGTGCTTTAATTCTTTAATACGCCTGACGTTGAATAAGGAGCTTTTCCATAAAAACAATTGAGAGACTGGGTCAAATATAGTAATTCAAAAAGCCAAACTGCTGTATTGAGAAGGAAAAACGTATCTATGAAATTTGAAGTTGCAATTGAATAAACTGATTGTGCAGACCCTTTCATATATATTTTCAAACGTGAAAGGAGAATAACAATAGATAACCAGAATGTAGAATTCAGATTTTAGTTTAAGCTTGGGATTAATCGCCGAAAAAGAAAGCGAGGTACCGGGAAAAAAGGAGCGTCCGGAAAAACGATATTTTCAGTTAAAACATTCTATTCAAGGAGTTTTCCTGTTTGTCGAAAAACTGAGGCTCAAGTTTCTGAGAAACTTGTAGTATAAATGCTTAGCCAAGCGGAGCCAATAAATCAAACAGTAGCACTTGGCGCGCTCCGTGACAGATCACCCGGGACTTAAAACAAGACAAGTCATCGGTTCTTCTCGTACAAACTGATCGCCATGGAACAAGGTTCCAAACCACGCGCTCGCTGCTTTAATTGGATTTCGCTCCTGATCTTAATGGCAGCGATCTATGTTGTACTGGTCTCGGTTTTTATGGTGACTCTTTATCGCTTGGTATTGACACAGACTACAAGAATTCGAACACTCGAGGCAAAGACAATCGAACTTTCAGCTCGCGTCTACAAGTTGGAACTAAGTTTAACAAATATTAAGAGATCTGAAGCAAAAAGTGTAAGTGAAACCGATCGAGTTGTGCACGGAAAGCTCACCAGTAAGGTACGTTGATAACTTCTAAGATCTGTAGAAATCGCTGCAAAAACAAAAGCGACTTTTGTACGATAAAATTATGCACAAGCTAATGTTTTCATTTGAATGAACGCAAAGTAACCTGACTGTGTTTTGTTTCAGCAGACGCCTTTCAGTTCCCTTCAGTCAAGAGATAAGCGCCAAATGGGAGGTGTCCCACACCCGACAGGTGAAATAAAGTGTTTCGTTTACTTTTTATTAAAAGACAAACATCACGATATTTTTCTCACGTTTTCTTGTAAACTACTCTAGAGTCACCAAGATTCACTCGCCGATGCACAAATGGCCTTTGAACAGCGATTGAAGGACAAATTCAGTGTCCGAAGCGTGAGCAAACTATTGAATTTTCCCAAATGACATTGCCAAACTTAAAACATCGCCAACGATTTTAAGTTTGAAGCGTGAGACAACATCTATCTAATAGGTAGTCCTCAGCCAAAGTCAGGTTCTGGTATAGTAATTTTTAGTAAGACTAGGAGCCATTTTACAGGAATTTCCATTGACACAAACTGAAACATTTCCGTCGAAAAAACTTTACGTTAGAGACCTTAAGACCCTATCACTGTTGCTTAGTTTCAACGAAAAATAATCTCACCCTGTTTTAATTGCCCCCAAAGTGATCAAAATAGGCATTCTCATCGTTATGTTTATACCAGGTTTGTTAACATCGTTTGGGAGAATTGCAATACCGATAGAAGGAAACCTTTTGTTCCGCAATAAACGGTACACGTGTTGCCATCTTCTTACTAACCGAAAACAAAAGAAAGAAAGAAATGGCAAGTTCATACTCTTGAGAAAGTAGTTTTGTTCGTTGGACGGCTGAAAATTACGTAACAGAGTCTTACAGAGAGAGTAGATCAGCGACAAGTGCAGAGACGTTTGCAACATCTTTTGTCAGTGCAGTTTAACTACTTCCGCATATTTTGTACTCCGCCATTCTTTAAAAATTAATGTTTTACTTTCAAATGTTTCTCACAACAGTTAGATTTGAAGTATACTCAAAAGCGTCCACTATCGATATATTAGGGACCTTAAGCAAGGACGAAGACGACGGCAGTGAAAACGTCGGTAAAAAAATGAATTTGCGTTCTTTCAAACTTAATCGCGTCTATTTGGACCCGCTCAATATGTCAAATGCAGGCGACTTTTCCTGGAGTTGAATTCTTAAGGATTTTATTCAGGTTCAAAAAGAGGAAGGAAAATTCGTCGTCGTATGTCCACGTCCTCCATAAAACGTCAAACAAGGAGGTTTCACGTAGTACTCTGCGGTGGACGTCAAAAAAATGTACTAAAAAGCGTGATGCACGTGCAGAGCTTTTGTTTTTATCAGTAAACCTATTGTTTTTTTGAAGTCGTCGTTGTGGTCGTCGTCGTGGCTGCTTAAGCTCCCTAATAATTAAAATTAACGAAAAAAAGTGGGAAACCACCAGAAATATTTCCTTTGCGCCTTGGAAAGCCTCTTGGATCACAGTAGTCCACTTCCTGTTATTTTGCGGTTGATACGTATTGATAATGATCGCCCTTTAGCCCATGGTCAATTTAATCGTTTACATTCAAATGTTAATCTTACACGGTCATTAGTGATCATGAAACCCCCCTGAGGATAAATGGATCACTAAGGTTTTAATTCAAAACAGCTTTTACATACCAAGGTTCCTTGAACAAGCTCCAATGTTCTCTTAAAGCGCCTTTTCTGTCACATAATTTCTTTACAAGGTCTTAAACCTGCAGGTTAAACGTAATAATGATTAATATTTGATAAGAGGGCCCTCCTCGGACATTCACCATTTGTGCACACACTCACAACCGCAACGCGGAACCGAGATCTTTGGAGCGGGAAAACAAAATGACGGCTCAGTAAGTGCGCCAACATGGATTGCGAGGCGTGTGGCAAGCGCGATGTGACGCATATATAGTATAAGAATGCACCCGCCATTTCGGTTGGAAAAAAGGAAGAGGAATACGCGTCAAGATCGCATTCTTTGTCCCTGAAATGAGGTCTGCCAATTGTACTACATTAGTAAAGTTGTGAGGCTGATATTTTCGTTTTCTTGATTAGTAGTAAGTGTTGCCTAGCTTATTTACGGTTCAACCATTTTTAACATTAGCTAACACTGAATACCGTGAAGTTCAGAACGATAAACAGTATTTTCTCAACAATACGCTCTCGGTGTTGGATTTGAATTCACACTTCGCTTGGTTGCCCGGTTGGTGTTTGTTTGAAACTGTACTTTATGCTGGCCCAATGTTTTAATAGTGAGAAAGAGTAGTTGCTCACTGTTCTTGAGAGCAATTCACCTTGCCGTTGTATTCAAATGTTATTCTATCACAAATAATCACGGGTTGAATAACAAATTCTCCAGTTATTCTTGGGACGCTATTATTAATCGAAAAAAAAAACTGATCTCCAGCTCCGGCCGGCTCGTACACTACAAGATGGGATAAAAGAAATTCTACCTTGCATTTATACAGAACAGCTTCTTACTCAAACTCCTTAATTTTTCTTTACAGGTTACAAGTGTAAAAAAGGTAAGATCATAAGTATCTTTATTTTCTCAAACTCATTAATAATTCATTAAGAAAATACAAAGGAAATTAATGTTTAATGAGTGTTTGGAAATCGGATGAAACACCGCTTAGTATTTGCATCCTTAATTTCTCCTTCAAAAATGATTTTGTTTGAGAAGAAATATCAAACATTCGACACAGTGTTTCATCACCAGATGAAACACCTCGAAGTTCGTCAAAAATACTACGCTGCGCGTCGTATTTTCAACTCTCTTCTCGGTGTTTCATCTGGTGATGAAACACTGCATCTCATGTTTGATATATTACTTCAACATCTTGATATTAACTGAACTGCTTCAGTAAGCACTCCAGCAAATTTCAACAGGAGACTTATTAAGAACTGATCAATGGACTTTTCAGGCCTCGAAGGAAATAAATGCGAAAAACATGCACCAGCTGTTCATAATTGGATATTTTTATTTACGATCAATAGGCTATTTTCACGATGACGATGTTTGACTACAACACCAGAATTCATCTCGTCTTTGCTTTCTTATTTAAATTTGTCAATTCAGCTGAGGTTTAAAAAACAATTGCCCTAATTTGCACAAAGAAAACAACAAACTGAAAGATTCTGGTAGTTGTAGTAAAATGACGTCACCTTGAACATTTTAAAGTTGCGCGAGAGACTGGGTCTGTGCTGTATCGAATTGCACTGTGGGATTGTTTTAGGGACGCTATTTCGTTTCTTATTGGCTATTGCGAAGTTGCGTTGGGAGCTGGGTAAAAATTCATCCTCAAAAATAATCCCATAATGCAATTCGATGCAACACCCACCCAGTCGATCTAGTATCGCTCACACGCAGTTTCACAGTGGCCAGTTGAACGAACGGAGCTGAATATTTTTTTACATGAAGCAAGGCGTTACCTGTCCTTGAAGAAAGTAATCATGTAAACTATTGTCGATACTTTCGACTGATTTGGTTATTTACTAGAGGAGTCAAAATTTTAAAGTGAGCTAGAAAACAAAAACTAATAGCTGTAGTCTTATTGGCTTAGCACAGCGTTAGGAACGAGGGGGCTTAACGTTGTCGCTCGCACTCAACTGTCAACACTGAAGTCGAAATCAACAAGTCAAACTTACCCTTTCTGTCGAAAGAACCACAGGTAATCTCTCTCAGATGTTCTATTCACGAATCTAATACACGTTTTGCTTTCCCATTCCCTCATTGCTGAATTGATGGCGTTCAAAGCCTCGGGCATGTTCTCTGTAGGAAATAGAGATCGAGAAAAAAGTTAAAATCTCCCCGGGCGACTACCACGCAAAGAACGGTAAAGCTCACGTTGCTTACGTGGACTATGGTACGTTTAATTTATTTCCCAGGTCACATGCTTCATATAGCGGGAGGGCTTTCACCAACTCATTATCTTTTCACTCTTCCGCATAGAGTACCGGCACTGTTATCAACTATCAAGAAGTACGCCACAATTTGTTTGCCATTTAAAGTATCAAGCGAGAGTACAGCTTAGGTATTGGCATTGAGTTTAAACAGAAATACAAAAGATAGCATATTAAACAGCATATTAAAAACTGCTGCTGAACGGCTTTGATTTGGATGTCACCCAATAAAGATTTAAAATTAGAACTACTAATGACGAAAAAATAGTCAGATGGGAGATGTTTTCAACATCTTTACAACGACTGGTGCAATACCTGGCAAGGGGTATTTACTTACTCAAACTGCAATCGATCTCGTATGGTATGATCCCGTTAGGCCACCGAAGACGTTTATCACTTCCTGCCGCTCTGCTATTGTTACCCCTGGCGTCTCCATAAGATTTGATATATTCTTGTTGTTCTTTAGTTAACTCGATATCTCCTTCAAACACGTTATCTGGGAGGGGCGGACTGGAAAAGTCTGCAATGTAAAAGATTGTCTCAAACTACGATAATAAGTTTGCATTTCGGCATATTAACTAACTTTCAGGCTAAACCATCAGACTTTTTATCCACAGAATTAAACTTAGATCTATTCCAACAAGTAACAGAAAGTACCGTTAGCAGAAAAAAAAAAGCTAAAAATATTCACTAACAGTTAACACAATAAGAGACTCTTCAGTAGTAGGTCAAAAATCTTGCTTCCCCTCGTGTTTTAAACTTCATTGAACGTCACAGTCCTGCTTGTTATAAAACATTGTTCAGTTGTTGTTGTTGTTTATTTTTGTACTTAACTAGCAAGTGGATAGAAGGGAATTGGTATAGGGAACTTTCGATCTGTCTGTGCGGCTGACTGACCAAACTGACCAATAAGCAAAGCTTTTCCCGCACGCGCACAGACACAGCATTTATACTGACTTTGTTTGTTTCGTCGTTACCAACAACAAAGAGGATTTAATTATGACATACTTTTTTGCGCGCGCTGGAAAACAAGCAAGACTGAGAACAGCAAACAGGATTTTCACTGAGCTGTCGGAGAGTTATTTTCTGCGTTGTTGGCGCCAATTAAAGCGCTTTTTAATTCAAGGTGAACATGGAGCAAAGCGTAAACGAACTTGAAACTTTGTTAGGGAGTCTAATGAAAAATATTACAGAACTACTACCTTCTTTTGAGGAGATTGTGGAGCAACAAGCTGAAAAGTTGGCAAGTAAACAGAAGAAA